TGACGAAGAATTTACAAAAACTCCACCAAACTTGCAAGAGGAAGAAAACAATGTTTCTCTAAATTTACTACCTACTAAGTCAAGAGAACGGTACAAAAAGTACTATGAATTATTTAACAACTGGAAAAAGAACAAAAAAACCAAAAAACATAACTGAAAATGTAGTACTTTTTTATCTTTCTGAAAGATCATAGATTGTAAATGCAGGTACAAAGATTTTCGTTATATTTTCCTTTTCTTTGTTTTTTTTTTGGTAGGCGAAAAACAATTGTGTGTCACACGCTTTGCTCGCTCATGCAGCTATTAGCCGTGGGTTGCTGAAGCTTATTTTCTGCTCTTGTGACACAATATACTATTTTAAAATGCCTTCCCTCAAGATTAACACAATAACGTGCCTTTTTGATTAACTATAACCTGACATTTTGAAAAACATTTGGTTTCAAACGGAACTGATCTGCACCCTGCAAAATTATATCTTAAATGTGCGTAATTTTCTATGGGAACCATAAAAAAATTCTTTCATAGCTCCCTAGAATGTAGTTAAGGGGATTTAAATCTGGAGATCGAGGTGGCCAGTGAACAGGTGAATTATGGCCCCTGTCAGTCCAACGGTTCGGAAAAACTTTGTTTAAATGATTCCTCACAATTTACGCGAAATGTGGGGAGCTCCATCCATTTGAAACCAAATGTTCCTGCGTATTTCTAGCGGGATATCATCAAATAAATCTGGAAGGGAATTTCTTAAAAATAATAAGAATGATTTGTCGTTTAAATTAGGCGGCAAAAAACAGGATCTATGATTATTCCTGCCCACACATTTACCTTAAAATTTACTAATAGTAGTAGTATTAGGTACATTTGTGAACCCACTGCGCGTAAAAGTGGCTTAGACAGTAAACAAAATAAATATACTAAAACGAATTTTTTGTTTCATTTCCTACAATAGCCAATCACAAAAGGCAGCTCTTGGCCCAAAATCTTGTGGACGAGGGGATATAACTTTATGACATAGTAAAGATACAGTGATTGGATTTTAAGGACTCCGTTTACAGTAGATTTATTATAATTAACTCCTTGTCTTGACAGTAATCTAGTGCTAGTACCCGGATTTTCATGTACCATTTCTAAAATTTGCTCTTTCTGACAGGCGGTAAGTCGACGTGGTCGTTCACAATTGCCTAAACGCATTTGCTTTAATTTACCAGTATGTCATAAGTGGTTAACTAAGTTTATGAAAAATTTTCTTTGTGGGTAATGCCTATTAGTGTATTTTTACGCATACCCAATAAGCACACGTTTTTCAACGGAAATTTAAGGTTGTATGGTAAAAAATATTTTTGGTTGAAGATTCAACGTTGAGATTTTATACGAATATAAAATACTATTTTCTACACCCACATGGATATTAGCTTATCTATGCACAGATTACAAAATGAAAAAGTATGATATTACCTTCAACTGAACGAATATATTTCATATCCATTTTAGGTAGTGAGAACTCTGCAAAAAAATTAAATCCATCAATCACCGTTCATATTTTGATCAACCGACTGCTATTATTTTTAAAATTTTAAATAAGTGACAATTCTGTCAAACTAATTGTCAGTATATTTTTTAGTTATTGAGATTAAATATATATTTTTAAAATGGGTTATTCTTGTGTAGAATCGATAAATAATAGCATTTCTGTTTTTATTTCGTCTATAATTATAAATAATTTGTTAATTTAAATAAAAATATAGGTAGTCAATTTAATTATGATTAAAGCAAGCGATTATTAAAGCAACAAAATTAAAAGACAAGATGGTCGTGTGGTGAGCGTTCTTGCCTTCCTCATTGAATACTGGAGTTCGATTCTCGGATGGGAAAGAACTTTTTTCTTTTTTTTTCATTTATTTTATTTTAAAAATTATTAAAAGTCATAAATTATTCTAAAATTAGTTATTTTGTCCTAATAACCTAAAATATTTTTTTAATTTGTAAATTTTCGTTAGTGGGTCATAGAAAGAATATACTCTGTAACTCGAGTGGATTATCCACATCACACTCAGACGATTGAGTACTCCGCCTACGGTGTCGTGCTCAAATTTCGTCTTTGTGCGATATGGCCATCATATATACTCTTGTTGCGCAAACTACCATTGTGCGATGTTAAGAGGAAGAAAATGTTTTCTTTTAACGATATATATCAAGATATATTTCAATATGTTATTTTCTGGAAAATTCCACACCTGTAATTTTGAACCAATCAAAATACGTGTTTTTGACAGATCACCATGGCAACGGAGGTATTTTAGTGGAAATTTTTTTCTCGTGGGGTACCCAACAGCAAATTATACTGGAAATTTTTTGACGTTTACAATAACAGACCATTTTTGACAGACTGGTTTTTATTTGTTCACATAATAGGTTTAGTTTTGATACATTTTAGTTACAATGCTAAGGTGTTTTCTATATTCTTCGGCCACTTCTTTTCTTCTTAATGGCGAAAACGCAGGACTTTGGATGCTTTGAATTATGTGTCTATATCTAATAAAATATATATAATATTTAGACACTAATTTATTCACCTTTTTCCCATTCAGCACTTTGAATTTTGCGTAGTTTAGCTGCATATATTCGTGGACAATTCGGAACAAATTTTCGTTTTTCCAGTTGGAGCCACAATCCTCTATTAATCCGAGTAAGTAAGTCATGGTGCAATGATTGATCATTACATCAGACAATTTCACGCATATTTTGCATAGCGTATGATTTTCAAATCGATTCATTTTTAAACAAATAGGTAATTTTGTTGGTTTTACTTGCTGTGCAATATTCTTTATCGCAACAAAACGCGAGTTATTTAATGTTTTGAACTGTCAAAATACAATGATCACAGCCTCCTACTATTGATGCTTGCTGACGCTGGTTATGAATTTCATACCATTTTAAAGCGCTCATAACGCATGTTAATAAAAACGCAGAAAAACAATTTTCTACCACTTGTAGTTATTCAAAACTTACGTAAAATTAAAGAATATACTATTTTCTATTTTCAAATGGTATTCCCATGCAACTACAATGAGTAGAAATAAGCAATTTGAAGGCCTAAATAATTGCAGCGAAACGTTTTTTTACGTCGGGCCGCTTGACAACTTCAAAACTGAAATTATATTCGAGGTTAGGGTCTCACTTAGTTACCATGACAACTCAACAATCAAGGCGACAACACCTTTTATGTTTCACTGGTGACTTGGAGAAAATAATTTGCATTGTTGAGAAACGAAAAATAAATTTTAAAAATATTTAATTTTCAACCATAATTCGGCGTGGAATTTTCTTACCGAATACCACGCGAGGTCAAATTAATATCAGGAAATTTTTTCTCGCTCATGAATATTTTTAGAAAATTTCCCTCGTCTGCGACTCGGGAAATTTTCAAAATATTCATGAGCTCGAAAAAATTTCCGGAAATAATTTGACCTCTAGTGGTATTACTAGTGAAAACTTTAAGGGCAAACAAAATTAAGGCTGTCATGCCTTATGTGATTTTTTTTAATATAAAATATTTTTTTAACTTTTGCACAGTTGCCATTTGGTAAAGTTACTCGCTATATATTTCGTACCACATAAATAGTATTTAATAAATAATCCATTCTTATTCTTGACAAACGCACAAAAGAGCATCCGCGAATCGAAATTACTACGCTTCTATCAAGTAATAGGTAGTTTTCAACATCCACAAAAAAAATAGTTCCATTTTGTAAAGGCCATATATTATTTTTGAATTTTGACTATATTCAGCAATTTTTTTTTTCAAAAATAAAGAAATACCTATTTGTAGTTTTATTTATAACATATGTCAAATCTATAATTTTGTGACACTAAAGTGATATGTTACCTATGGAACAAATTCTTTCCTATTTGCCATTATAATATTAGTGATTACCTTTGGTAATATTTAATATCTACTAACTGTATCGCACTAACTAATTAAAATCTATATATTTTCTGTCAATAATGTTTTGTTAATAAATATTTTGACTGGAAAGCAGAAAATATTTTCCGTTATGGCCAACTGTTTCTAAACTAAACTAAAAAAAATTAAGTATATTCAATAAAAATCTATAATAAAATAAAGGCAGGCAACTGTATTTACGGAAAAATGTATGAGAAGTTGCCTAAGTCTAATAAGTTTGAAAAATTAACCTATTCTGTCAAAATAAAAAGATATCTTTAAATAATTAGCTTAAAGTTAAAATGTATAAATAGAATCATTGTTATTTATATTTTCAATTTTGTTCGCAAGAAAAAATAGAATGAATGATGAAAACTGGTTTTCTATCAGTAAGTCACAAAATTGCATTCTAGCCACATACAATAATCAAAGGCAGAATTCTAGTTCTTGCTGCATGAAAATTTAAGATTAAAGGGATGTTGAAGAACATGGTGAAATTATATTTATTTTATTGTTTATTTAAAACCTTTCAAGTTTCTGATGTCTACTATTTCCAGTATAACTGTTATTGTTACAAAAATAAAGGTAATTTTTCTTCTTATTGTACACATATCCATTTATTTCTTTGATTTAATTTCCACTTTGCTACTGAAAATTTTTATAATTTACACTGTTTTTTTTTTTGCTAGTATTTTTACAATTTTCAACACACCACTCCAGTTGCGTATTCTATTGTTTTTACCTACTATTTTTGAAAAAAAAAGTAAAATGTATACATGTATTTGATATGCTAAAATTACAAAATATCGCCCTAAAACGCACGAATTATCCGCAGCTAGCGCTAGTATCGCTTTTGCTTCCCCTACCATGACTTCGCACTGAGCGAATAACGAGAACAGTTTTAGAAAAGATAACTGTATTTAACTTACAATAATAGTCATTATTCCTTGTTATTGTAATACTTATGTACAAAATGTAAACTATTGATAATTGTCAATGAAATATGTCTAAATATCTAATTGACACATATTGTTTTAAATAAAATGTAAATTTGTTTTAGCTGGTACAATTTCCAGGAAGAAATAAATGAAGATGCTCAAAGGGTCTTTGCTTGGGCCACTTTTTTTGTAATTTGTGTTGTTTTTGGACCAAAGAATGTGCAAGAATATGAATCTGATTTCAGTTTTGACAATAGAAGACATAGAGATGCTATCAGAAAATCGATTACCCTTGATGCCAAAGAGAAACTATTTTTCATTGTTCAATATTATGCTAGGAAAAACTGGTTATAAATAAAATACTTTTATTTTCATGCTTTTTTTTCTTATAACACCTGATTGATTGAAGTAATAAATATCATATTCCAGCAAAAAAACTAAAAATATTGTAATTCTAATGTTTGTTAAAGATCATTCCCAATTGTGATATTTTATTTATATAAAATTTACAACTTAATGAAATTAACAATTTACCCAGACAGCACAAATATTATATAATATATATAAAAATGAGTTTTTTTCTGAACTTCCGACATTCAGTGGACGTCCAGTGAAGTATACAAATGGCACAATTTTGACCATTCCGAGGACGTCCAATTCTGGATTATATTTGGACATTGAATACTGGACATTAAAAAGACGATAACTTTCTGGATTATATTTCATTGAGACCACATCCCCACTTTTTAACACAAACGTAACTCACCAAACATTATTTTATATTATTTTATATTATTAGTATTTTATTTTCGCAACCCTGTATATACACCATTTCGTTTTTTTATTTAAAAATCGCTTGACCCGAGCAGAGATCAAACTCGCGACACTTGAAAACTTTTTACTAGATATGGTTATAATCACATCCCCAACTAGCCATTCATAAAAGTGTATTTGTTGTGAAGTTCTCATCATCATCTATTGTATAGTCCAGAAGACAGTGACGATTTTCGGTATTTATTTTCCCAGTCAGCAAGCACGAATAGAGAATTGTAGGATTAGCAATTCTAAGCAAAATTCGTATATATTTAGAGGGGGGATCCGATGGGCTGAGGCCGAAAATGCGTCAAAACATACGAGAACACGGCCCTTTTTTTCCATTTCCAAAAATAGTTTTAGTAGTAAGAGATGTACTGAAGTTAAGTAAAAAAATAGTCTGATTAATATGTATGGATAATATATTTGGCAAGTGCATAAAATACACTTTCAAACGAGTTATGTACACAATTATTTCTACGACAACAATTATTTAAAGAATGTTCCAGGTGTTTTGTATATTAAAGTGTACGCATAGGACACATAAATAAAATCTTATATCACAATGTTTCACCTAACCAGTTGGTTTATTTATAGAAATTAAACATAATAATTGAAGATATTACAGAAGAAAATAGGGAAATAAATTACATTTCCTTTTACACTTTTATATAATAATTGTTTTATTTAGAATTCACGAATCACTTATTACTCTACATTAATTATAATTATTGTTAGTTTCGTTATGTCAAATCATTTATACTAGAGGTGTGAGGAAAATACAGTGAACTGTGGAACGTCAATATCGTTGGATGCGCGTGGTACAAATGGTCCTATAATACTGCTAAAAACATAGCGTAATTTTCATGGAAACACTGTACTTTTGACATTTGCGATACTCCGACGCATATGCATTATTGATGTAATCTCATGATTTTACAGTAATAGTTTTTGCAATTTTAGTGTGATTTTTAGGTTATTATAGTTATTCATTTTATTTGGTTCTGATCTTTTGCGCTTTTAGAGTATTTGTCTTTTATATAGTTTTTAATTTGAATTTTAATATTGTGGTCTATTTATATTTGATTGCTGCTTTTCGACTAGTGCTTTATTCTTTTTGTGTTAAAATAAGCTTTATAACCATTAAGTACATGCTTCTAGTTGATATCTACCTAATCGTCATCGGGTGCTTGCAACAATGGGAAAAAGTGTATGGTTTTTTTGGTGTAAAGTTAGACACCTTCATTTTTCAGGTAAGTTATTTTTTACTTAAAAGGATAGCAATACGTCCTGGTTCGGAGTGTGACTTTTGGGTTTTAGCTATCTGAGCCAAATTGTCGGCTAAGTGTCCTCTTTTAGGGCATCCAGAACCGAAAACTATATAGGTATATAATATGTTTTTTTTTAAATTATTTTTTAATATGTATGCAGTTTGGATGAGGGCTTTAGGAAGAGATCCTAAGACTGAACACTGACTGCTATAAATGCCGTTTTTAGAGCACCTTTCATAGTAAGTGATTTCATTCTAGCAGCATGAGGAAACGTTTAAAAAACATGCTGTACCAGCTATTACTTTAAGACCTCGTCTCTTTAAGTTATTATTACTTCATTCTAATGCATATATTAAAATGGTTTTTAACTTATGTCCTTATGATTAAAAGGTGTAGGTATTTTAGTTATGTTATAATAGAAATATATGATACTTTGTATTGACTGACCTACTGGCCACTGGTCATTCTACTTTTACTCCCTTTTTTCATAAATTATCAAATTATTTAAAAACAAATACATACCTAGCTATTTTCTGTAAATTACATTAAAATTGTCGGCTAAGTGTCCTCTTTTAGGGCATCCAGAACCGAAAACTATATAGGTATATAATATGTTTTTTTTTAAATTATTTTTTAATATGTATGCAGTTTGGATGAGGGCTTTAGGAAGAGATCCTAAGACTGAACACTGACTGCTATAAATGCCGTTTTTAGAGCACCTTTCATAGTAAGTGATTTCATTCTAGCAGCATGAGGAAACGTTTAAAAAACATGCTGTACCAGCTATTACTTTAAGACCTCGTCTCTTTAAGTTATTATTACTTCATTCTAATGCATATATTAAAATGGTTTTTAACTTATGTCCTTATGATTAAAAGGTGTAGGTATTTTAGTTATGTTATAATAGAAATATATGATACTTTGTATTGACTGACCTACTGGCCACTGGTCATTCTACTTTTACTCCCTTTTTTCATAAATTATCAAATTATTTAAAAACAAATACATACCTAGCTATTTTCTGTAAATTACATTAAAATTTTAGTATTAATACTTTACTAATAAAACTTCAGTTAATTTATCTTATATATATACACAACGGAAGAGTTAATTGGATTTTCTCCTTGTTGAGTTTCAAAAATAGTAATTTAACATGATTTAAAAACAAATACATGAAATGGGCAAAATAGGCCTGCAAAGGCACTTTGTAAACAATCTCACTTGTATCGATGAGACGTAATGCGCGAATTCAATCTGGCTTACTTTTGTTAATAGATTGGCGTTCGATTTTAAATATACAGTTCACCGGGAATAGATTATTTAAATATACACGGACCGGGAAAACAAGTACGAAAAAATTCACTGGCTCCTCGACTAGTACTGTATCGAAGGATTTTTTATGAATGAAACAATATACGACCCTCCACAATTGCGGTCTACTCTACTTCCGCTGTTGTCAGACATTATTTTTTTTTTACAATTTAAAGACCTAACAGTAATTCAAGCAAACGCAATAACATTACTACAGTTAAAAACATCGCAAACTTGGCATCAATATTTTAATTTTATCCAAATATTGCATTTCTGTCGTGGATCATCCGCGTTGACTTCAAAAATTGTGTAATCTGTATTGGTTATATATATCTATAGTTAAAAGCACGTAAACTTGGCATCAATGTTCAATCCGATTATTGAGTTTCTACCGCGGACACCACCGTTCATTCTTCAAAAATTTTGTAAATAATCCTATCTGTCTTGGTTATATATCTATGGTTATAATTGAATAAGATTTCAAACTTCCGTTGAGAAAATGATATGCAATAGCAATGGCAATAACAATATGCGTTAACCACTGTTGGACACTTGGATATTCTGTTGTTAATTTAAATTGTTAGAAAAACATAATGAGTTAAAAAATTTCATAATAACCTTGTATAGGGTGGCGTGTGGCAGACGGATGTATCTGAAAATTAAATAAAACGCAGATGGTTACAATATGAAAAATTTTAATGGTTTTGGATATGTGGCGTTCTTAAATTTACCAAAGTAATATCTAGTCATGTAAAAAACACAAACAGTAGCCAACTTTAGTCAATAAGTTGCTATTTATTGATAATTTATTGTTTTAGAATAAGAAAATGGGTTTAAAACGTGAAAGAGAAGATTTGAAATAGAAAGAAAAATATCCGAATTCCCATTATTGAGTTTGCACTCAACATTTTAAAAAGGACACTCTTGTTTATTCGTTTGGAAAATAAGAACAAAAATGTTAAAGATACAAATAACGATCAAAAATTAAAAAAATATTTGTCATGTATAGATTTACAATAATTAATCGATAATAGTGTAATGCGAGCCATTTTATTATTCAGTCATGCTCTAATCCTCCAAGTCCCTCTCTGTCTTATTTGGCCTTTGAGGCTCAACTTGTCTGATTATCATACATAATTAAACTCCTTAAGACCAAACATATGTGACGACTATAGCGGATGCGCTTTCGAGTATATTCCTGTTTGAACGTGATAATGTCACTAGTGTTGGTGAGATTTGGTGCGAATATTCTAGTACCTTCGCCAAAATTTTAAATATTGTTTAATATTGGTGCAGGAACACGGAGCAGTTAGTTGAGAATAAAGTATTGGACTGTGAAGATAAATAGTGAACAATTCAAAGTTATTCAAAATATATATAAATTAGAATAATATTGTTTTAAAAATAAATAAGTGTTTAAATAAATTATAAACAAATAAACTGTTGTTTAAAATTAACAAACATTACAATAGACTGTAAGTGTAGTATTCTTTTTAATAAATAATTTAGTGAAACTATATTATTTAAGTTATTTATTTACCAGAACATGAGAGTTTTTGGTATCTTAATGTATTTTAACTCAACTTTCACAATAACTATATAACTGATAACATTAACATGTAACGTCTATCATAAAACTGAAAACTGACGTCAGGATCATCCTTGTATAGCTTGCTTGACCCTTTTCGAACCTTCTCGAACTGTCGTCTAGAATATTCTTGACCGGTAATCACATTTCCACACATTTCTATCTTCTTTTACTTGTACTTTTACATATGACTACCGCAGCACAGTGTACAGCGATGAGTAACATTTCACTTCTTTTTCTATCTGTATGTTTCCTATAACAACCGCAGACTACTGCAGGGTGCTGCGTAACATTGCTCCCTCCTTTCTAGTTATTCGCCTCGAATAACTTGATTACTGGGACCTGGTTGGAGTCAACGGGGAGGATCTGAACCACGATATGGCG